GTTTCACTGAGTTTACCATCTCCGCCTGTGTTTCATTTCAACTTAATTAATCCTTTAAAACATTTTATTTTTTTCTGTTGGGGGATCAATGCAGCGGCACCACGACAGCTTTCACTCATAGTCAGTGACAACAGCCTCAGAAGGAAAACACACCAAACAAAGGGATTAGCTGTATCAGGCTGAATCAAATAAAAACAGATTTTATCAGCGATGTGAAGCAAATAATAGTTTTATTTAGCTCCAGGGTCCAGAGCTTAAGGCCACAGAGGCTGCAAAGCAAACATCTAAACTAACCGCTCCCCATCGTTCCTTCTTATCTCCCCCAAAATAAACCTTTTGAGATTGAGATGTGATATATGGAAAAAAAGAGAAAACATATGAGACCCATCTGCAGGAGATCAGTCGCATTGACGGGATGTGGCAGCAACATGGAGCGTCGTGTTATTAGGGTTTGTAGTATTATATGTTACCTACATGTAGAAAACAACTAAATGGACCGATCGAAGTAAAAAACACAAACCAAGGTTTCATCATGTGTTGGCGTCACAGATATGGCCCAGGGTGCAATGCCACTGATTTCATGCAGATGAGTCACATGTTTGCATTTTTCAGGATCAACGAGATCGACTTCATGATCTTCACTTTTTACTGTGAAGCTGCAACACAACCTTTTTTATTTATTTATTTTTGGGGCTTTTCCGCCTTTAATGATGGAGACAGTGAGAGACAGACGGAGAAATGTGGGGGAACGACATGCAGCAAATGAGCCGCCGGCTGGACTGGAACCGGGCCGCTGAGCCGGGCCTGTAGCCTGTACGTGGGTCGCCTGCCCGACCCGCTGAGCTATCAGGCACCCAACAACACACAACCTTTCTGACATGGCGTTTCACCGTATTCCAGAAGCAGCGCAAATAAGACACATAAACCGCAGACTGACCAATGACACAGCAGCTGTTGCACAGATGTTTTACTTGATGGTGCTGCTGGATAATAAACCAAGTGTCGCACAGCTCTGGATTCTAGTGGATCCATGGAGATGTGGTGAAGAATGACGGTCATGTACGTTCAGGCTGCTTAACTACAAACCAGAAGCAGTTTGTGGGCTTTTTCTGCTCCTGTCACGTTTTGCTCACCGTTATAAAGTCCTGCAGCTCGATGTAAACACAGCAACCACGGCTGGAAGCAGAAGGAACTCGAAAATATCCTGAATGCAGTACGACACAGTTAGAATGACACATATCATAAAAGTTTTCTTTAGTGATTCATTTGACAAACGTTGAACAAGCCTGGAATCAATATGTTTGTTTTACACAGCCTGCAGTTCATCCAGACAGTCGATGGGTTTTTGTCATGTGATTGCTGGTTGCAGGTTTTCTTCGTTGCACTGGGGATTGTACTATTGTTTGTTTTTTTATAGAATAGTTAAATTAAAAGAGTGAATTTTTTAGTGAATTTTTAGTGAGACATTTTGAATAAAGTTTGATGAAAAATCAGGATATTAAGTTTAGACTCGATTAAGTTTCACAGGTGATCAGTTCAAGCACCGTAAGGAAACTTAAAAATCCCACAATGTTTGGAAAGACAAAATGCCTGAAAACCGCTGACAGGTTTTAGGTTCAGAGGGTTCAGAGAGTTCTAGTAAGAATCAGCAGCTAAGAGCAGCGTTGTAGCTTTAAAACAGAGGAATCATGTTTCCTGCACGTGAAAGTGAATTAATTATTCATCCAAGAGCAAAGCAACAGTTAATTACATGCAGCTGCACCTCTGCCCGCTCAGTGATGCCACAACAAGTGTTTCTGTCTGATGGAGAACACCTGAGATGGTGCTGATGAGTCTGAAGGACCCAAACAAGAAGCAACCGACGTCTCCATCACACGCTTATAACCCTGAACCACCAGTCTGTTCAGATGCTCCTCGGCCAAGAGGAGAAGAAGAAGCGACGCTGACAAACCAATTCAGCCACTTCAGCTCCTATTTCTCAGTGGAGGGAGGCTGCAGATGCTCTCCACTGACAGCACTATTAAGACATGTCGGCCCACTTTGGCCGTCGCAGACGAGGTGTTCATACGTCTTTGTCTGGGGCTGGACGCCGACCAGTCAGCCACCACAATAACACTTCACTGTGGCTTTATTACAGCGTGAGAAACCCAGATGAGTGCATTTTTCATATCATAACGCTCTTTAAAGGCAGCACATAGTAACACAGACATGTTTAACTGTTGGTTTTAGGTGTTGGAAATGCAGAAGTGCTAACAGATTATTCTGCACCTCTCTGTGAACGATGTGATTTTCTATATTGCTGCTGATTTAAACAGTGGTCAAGATCTGCGGTTACACAACACATGGCACAAATTGACCAGTGAATTATGCTCTGACAGACTGAAAGACTAATTATAAAAGCTGTTGGCGAATTTGGAGGACTAAAGCAGAGTCAAGGCTCGCTATTTGCATATCCTTCATCTGCCTGGTGTGTCAACAAAAGAGACTCGCTCTCTGTCTCCACACCGGCGCATTCAGATGCAAAGCAAAGTGAATGTAATTATGGATCCTTTCTTTTTTTCATAACATTTTGTTCTGGCTTTAATATGAGCTCCGCCGTGAATTTCAATTGTAGTCCTCCGTTTGTTTCCCTTTGAGCTGATGGAAAAAAGAAAGAGAGAGAGCTGCATGTAGAGTTTAATTCTATTTGTGTGGAAATTTGTTTTAATATTTGCCTGCCGGCAGGTCAGGTTAAAAATTCATATTTCATAAAGTGAGGATATGCTACAGTAATAGCTCATTTGAATGTGGAGCAGCAGAGCTTATTGCTGCGCCCTGTGGAGGTGTTGTTGGGCTAATTTGGCAAATGTTCGTGTCTTCAGAGCTCACGCGAGAACCTCCACGGCGTCACCGACGTCACCACTCGTCTGTAAAACCCAGACTTCAGTGCAGGCCAGGCACTTTAGTTTAAAGGTGAGCTGCAGTGACGCACATTTAGAAACACTGAAGTGGGAAGAAACAGCAGAAAAATCTCAGAAAGAGACAAACGTGAGCAATAACATGTTGAACTTTCACCATAGCTTCATAACCACCATTTACCTTCTGCACAATTTATTTTTCAGCACCGACTGACTGCACAGACTGGACATTATGTCATCTACAATGTTTTATAGGATCTTTCTGCTAAAATCCACATTTCACAGCGTGCACTCGCTCCAGCTTCAAAAATAAGAGCACTGTTGTAAATGGAGACATGCTCTTATTTTGTAGTTTTAAGCCAAACACCAAATGAAGCACTTTTAGAACTTGAAGAATCTTTAATTATCCATGTTTCTTTGGAGCTGGATGTACTTGATTAGTCCATGAGTTGTAGTAGGATCAGCTGATCTGCCTTTGGCATTCAGCAAATGTACATCTTTGTCCAGCCCCTAAACATTCATTTCTGTTTGCCAAAAAACAAAAAGTTTGTTTTGCCAAAAAGACCCGCTCTAAATGTAGCTCTACATTGTGACTTTATCTATAATGTGCAGACCTAAGAAGTTCTGTCTCTGCCCAGCCCGAGCACACCAGCTCACCTTCAACTCTCACTCTGTGGAACGACTTCTAATATCGGAGTCGCTCAACCAAACATGTTCAAACCCGTGTAGCAGACCAAAGTGTACCCCAGAGTCTATCCCAGCTGACTCAGGGTGAAGGCAGGTTCACCTGGACAGGTAACCAGTCTATCACAGGGCTACACTTAGAGACAGACAACCAAGCACACTCACATTCACACCTACGGACAATTTACAATCACCAATTAACCTCAGCATGTTTGTGGACTGTGGGAGGAAGCCGGAGAACCCGGAGAGAACCCACGCTGCACGGGGAGAACATGGAGACTCCACGCAGGAAGATCCCGGGTGTAATTTTGTTCATTTTTAATTTTCAGTACTGCTAAAATATTCACATTTTATTCTCATAAAACCACATAAACTAGAGGAAGTACATAGAGGATTATAAATGTCTGCGCCAGATTTCCTGTCAATCCATCCAGCTGCTGTCGATGCAGTTCCACAGATGTTTGAAGATCTCACCTGACAGGAGCGTTTTCAAACCTTTGACTGTCCTCGGGCCGCTTTGTTTCACAGTGATGTTTTTCTGTTGCTTCATATGGACTTGTTGATGAAATCAGTTTGTATTTTCTGAGTGAGTTTTGTGATTTATATACATATATATAAAATAAAATCCCTGAAAAGATGTGACAAGGCCTTTTCAAACACACTCCGGCACATCGTCTAACTTCAAAAATATATTTATTGGCATGTTTCTGCGCGAGACCTTCATCAGACAAATGGTTTGGTACAAAAAGTCAGGGAGCCTTAAATATAGAAAAAAAACTTCAACCATGAGGAGGAATGAAGCACAAAAGAACAAAAACAATTCTCAACAACTCAAATCTGTATATTTATATAGAAAACACATGACAAAGACATAAACCATATAAATGATTCAGTTTTAACTCCTTTTTGAAAAATATCAGATTTCTGTTCCTTTCTCAAGCAAAAACACTCCAAATATTTGGATTCAGGATGTTTATCAGTCATCTGTAAATGCAACCAAACTGCATTTGCTTGGCATTTGGATAAATGAGGTTCTGGTTCTGCTTGCATGTGGCGTGTTAATGCTCAGGAGGACGGGGAAGCATCGATTTTCTGTGAATCAGTCGAGTGTGGAGTTTAAAAGCTTGTTTGGCAGAATTTGTACCTTTGATTAATTGTAGCTACGATGCACACGTGGATGCTGCACATTATTGTGGACACCAGGGATTAATCAAATATTAAAGTTTATCCAGATTAAACTGCACAGAGAGCAAAAGTACTGCTCTGCTCTGTGAGGCTGCTTTCTTCTGTTCCTACCATGTGGGCTTGTCTGATTCTACATTCACACAATATATTTGTTATCTTCTGTTGAAACAAATTGTGTTTTGAATTTTTCCGTCCATTGATGGTTGTGTGTTTTGTCTTTTGTCTTCCCTGCAGTCCAGCAGAAAGCAGAGCTGGAGAAGGAAGCCAAGGTCAACATCCTGGAGGCCGGGGTCGCCGACGTGAGTACTCTTTTGAATCTAAACAAAAAGCTTTGATGGCTTGTAAAAAAAAAAAAGGCAGGACGCTCAATCAGACACAAAAAACATGTGGACAGCCCCACCCATGGGTGTTCATGCTGCTGCTGGATGGTTCAGAGCTCATGCAGGCCAGTCAAGTGCCATCTTTATAATTGCACTTGACTGAATCGATAAAAAACAAAGCAGCCAATGAAATAAGTACCCCAACAATAAACTTTGGTGCATCTTTGGTCCGTCCTGCCACCTCTCTCAGCTTTCATCTCTTTGCATTGCTATTCTCCGCTGAGTCTGTGGCAAACAGACCGCTGAGCATCTGCACTCGCCTATCGATCCAGGAGTTAGTCTGCACCGATGACGGCACGCCATTCACCACGCTTATCAGAGTGGCAGCAGAGAGGTCTGAGAAAGAAATGGTTGGAAAAGGAAAGGGGGGAGAGGAGGGCAGTGGGGAGACAATGAGGGAGTGGAGTCGGGAGGTTGGAAGAAAGGGAGTGCTGGGATGGAGGGTCTATCAAGGTGATCAATACGTAGCTGCAAACAGGAGCCAATTATGACCAATCGAACCTCTGTAGTAGAAGAGAGAGGCAGAGAAAATCCTCCATCTCAGGCTCCCAGACGGAGCAAAAGCAAAGTCCCAACCTGCACTGGAGCATCCATCACCCCCCCATAGGGTGTTTATTATAGTTTTATCATACACTGTAAAATAGGAATATTAGCATACTACATCACAATGACAGCTTAAAAATACAGGAGAAAAAAAGAGAAAAGTTAGTTTCTCAACGGTGCAACGGAGACGATTTGTTTTCCAGCTCGACTTGAACAGGCTGCAGCTCCACTGCTGCTTTCTTTTTCTTTCTAAACAGGCGAGAGATGAATTCTCATTTTCTCATTGATGCCTGCGTATATTTGAAATGGAGATAACCTGAAAATTTATTGTCGCGGCAGAAAAGGTAATGCGGGGAAATGGCGTGCAATAAAATCAGTAAAGACAAAACAGTGGAACAGTAAAACAGATCATAAATGATTGTGGGCTTGTAGAAGTTTATGCACCTGACAATCAATCAAAAGTGAAGCCGATGAGTGGGAAGAACAGGAAGAACATCCACTTACATGCAAATAAAAAGAGTTGAAAATGAATTTATCATATCATAGACATTAAATAGTTTATAATGAACACACACTTGTCATTATGCACATGGCTGACTGGTCACAGCTGCATAAATATGTTTTTTTTTACTTTCTTCATTCCACTTTGGACGAACTTACAGTTCGGACACTAATAAAATGTCAGACTGAATATGTAGTTATATGTAGTTATATGTAGTTATAGTGCACTTTATAGTAAGCAGGGAGCCTTGTTGGTTATTCACGGATGTCAGTTTGTTTTTGAAATTGCAAAGCGAATGTCAATCAGTCTGAGGATTGAAGTGACCATGGGAGCTTTTAGTTTAAGTAGAAAAACTGAGACGGACTTATTCTGATTTCTAGGAATCTACAGTAAGATGTCAGAGAGAGCATCCTGTAATCTGAATACATCCTGCTCTAGAACAAACCATTCACAAGCTGTACCATCTGAAACCTTTTCTTCTTTGTCTTATGTTGGAGGAAAAACCAGTAAACTGAAGGTGTGACGATGCAAAACGTATCTGATCCCATAAAAGGAGTGATTAAGGCGAAGAGCTTCAGTAAAAAAGCGACCAGAAGTCCAGCTAAAGTTTGTTTTATTTACAATTATCATGACTTGGATGAGACATATTTAGATATATCGAACCAAGATTATGAAGATTTTGAGAGACAACTCGTCAGTTTTCGACTATAAACATTGACTGACTTTTTCTTGGACGTTGTTGTGCAGAATTACAGCTGATGAGTTAAATACTTGTAGAACGTTGATCAGAGTCAGAGGTGAGCTGGTGTGCTTGAGCTGAGAAGATCTGCACTCTGGAGGAAACAGTGGTGGAATGAAGCCAGTTTAAAGCAGATGGGGGAAAAAAAGATATTTGAGTTGATGTGTGTTTATGAATGAGTTTTTCAGGGTTTAATTAAAGCCCTGAAAGAGGCTTGAGTTGATTTAAAAACACTAACGTTGGGATGGTTTACTGACACTGAAGCGGTGATGATAGCGGTGAGGAAAAGGCACATTACACAGCGTTAGACCTTCAGCCTGCAGCCAGTCTTCATGTCTGCTTCAGTATTCTCCCAGTGAATCAGCACATCTCCCGCTGTTCATTGTGGGTCTTTGGCGATTCGTGACTGAACTCTCAAATTCCTGTCGTGCTTCTGAGATATTGAGGCAGCGATGCTGCTTTTTTCTCTCCCATCTGGAATTCAGGACATCATTGAAGCTTGAGATATTCATGTGATGTGTTTGGTGGAAATATCTGGTTTTCTTTCTCTGTGTGATTGATAAATTAAAGGAGTGATTTGAACACGTCAAGGAAAATGCAAAATGTGCAGAATGTGAATAATTGTTAGTCAGAGATCAGAAACTTGTTTGGAGGGACATGAATTTGTTAATTCACATATTTATTACTATTGTGTGTCTGCAGCGTGACAAGCAGAGCTGAAAAACATAAGCAACAGATCATCATGTCCTCTCCTCTGCTTTGGCCTCTAATTAATCACTTGTTCTCTCAAACTTCAAATCACTTCCTCAAAGTAGTAATTTGTGCACTCAGTCTGTTGATTTTGTCGACCTCAGTCCCACTCATGCAGTGGAAGCGGCTTTATATCTTCTGCATGTCATGAAGAGTTTTAAAACCTTGAAGCTGGTTGTGATGAACTCAGTAGCATCCACAGTGACACAGTATTCGTTGTTTAAAAAAATATCTGTTGTCCTCTGAAATGCTTTGTTGAAGGAATGTCACAGAGTTTTGAAGACGAGATGAAAACAACATTTTGGTGGTTTCTAATCTGCTGCAGGAAAGTTCTGGTTAAGTTAAGCAGCTACTGGAGAATTATTCTGGCCATGAAAGAAAAGAAGACGACCCGCGAACTTCTCCTTTCAAAGTCTGTCATTTAAAGAACCCATACTCGTTATGTCCCAGCATTTGGGCCATGCTGATTGTAGAGAGCAGCTAATTACTGATATTGATATATCGGCCAATATTCGTTATAAATACCGTGTAGAGAATATCTGGTGTACAGTTTTAGATTGAAAAGGGAGAATGATGGAGTTATTGTTTATTAACTTCCAGCCATGTGTTCCACTAACTGGTTATCTGCTTGTAATGAAGACACCTGTTGACTCGGCACCACTCTGCTCAGCTTTCTCTGCTGCATTTGCTGTCTGGGATGCTGTTACTGTCCAACCTGCTCTTTGAGGCTTTGTGTAGTGGTAGAATAAAATAAAGCTGTTTCTAGCTTTGTGAGACAAGAGATATTTAATGTTTAATATGTTTAACCATGCAACTAGTGCTGCTGTTTTTGTATCTCAGTTTATCCAGCATGTGTCCTTGAAGTAAACATGTCAGATATCATCTTTGTATTATATTTGCTGTATATGCACATATAGAAACCTGCTGGTAACCCATCGCTAGCTAGCTACTGTGCTACACAGACATGATTCCTTTTAATGCTTAAGCAAGCAATCAAAGTTATTTTTTCTAGTGACATAAACTCCTTTTGGAGTAAAGACACTCTTTCCAGCAGCCTGTACGTATGTGAACATAGCTAACGAGCTGCCTCACTAACAGCAAACATGATGGTTGTTAAGGAAAGGCTTTCATTAGTTATACTGAAAACAGAAAACTATAGACTAATTGTTTTCTTTGCTTACTAGCAATAAACTTCACCAGCTGGTCAGTTGACATCTGCTGTCTGCTGAGGAGGAACATGTTCTCTGCTACATGCGCTGCAGACAGAAAACATCACACACATTTAGTCCATGTTAAACCTCACATGTCCTTTATGACCAGAATGCAGCTTTGGAGTGACGATGTCTGATATCAACATATGTTCTTCATACTATATGCACATGTATAATAATAATACTGACAAATCAAATCCATCGAATAACGTGATGGTTTGAGGTGCTGATGTGAGTAAAACACTTTTAAAATGTTATCAGTACATATTTATAAATGTCCAGTTTTGGTGACATGTGAAGAATTCTTCTGTTTTATAAAAGTGTCTTCTGGTTCTGGTTGGTTGTTGTGTTGGACCGGACTGCATGTTAACGTTGGATTGTAGCTGAACTGTGTGTCTTCCAATGATATTAAACCATATCTCTGGCCAGCAGTGCTTTTATTGGTTTGATCAAGCAGACAGGTTTTGATAGATAAACTTTCATTAAAATCTCAAACATCCTCATTTAGCTTCTTTATAAAGCTCCGTACAACACGCTGCTGCTTGTTAAATGACTTTACGGCGCTCTCCATTATCCTCCACTCTGACCGCCATTACCTCACGTGGCTTCAGGACTGAGAACCATTGAATCACCAAGGCCACGGAGAGCTCGGCGCTGTTGTTTCCACGCCGAGACTTGCGCCCAATTAGGAGAATGTATGTTTGTTGGGAGGGAGGTCGAAGATAAGGTTGCCGTGGCAGCAACCAGATTATAATTGTCCTGGAGTGGCACTAATCCCCCTCCAACCCGGCCGGCTCGCTTTGTTCGCCGCAAATCAAGGCGCTTCCAATCTGTCTGAGAGAGCGATTTCACAAATAGACGAGGGAGGCAACGGAGGAGGGAGAAGCTAATGAAACAAACAAACAAACAAATAGAAAAGAAAAGAAAAGGAACAGTAGATGGCCCTTTCCATCACCACTTAACATAATCACTGCTCAGGAATACAGACGGCCCAAATGCTCACTGCTATGAAAACGCAGACATGCTAGCTGCTGATTTCACTGATGTGAGCAGGAGAAGAAAGAACTCATCAGGAATAAGAGAAAAGGCTGCTGCAGGTTTTGATTGTTTGGAAAAGACTTTATTTTGCAAATGACTTCATCGGTGTTACCAGCTATCTTTATAAGGATGTTAC